GTATGGGTACGACATTTTAGTTAAATTTCCAGTTTTGGGTATGTTCAGAATTAATATAACAGCAATGTTTATGTATTTATTTTGTTGTTTCTAGTTGTTCAGAACTAGTAGTTTTTAGCGCTTGAAATATACACATTGGTCGTACAATGGAAATAATTTTAAACCTGTGCAAGTAATTTTATAACAGAAAATGCATGAAAAATGGAATAAATCCAAATACTCTTAAACCTGAAATGATTTCAAGCCAATTCAATCAGACAAACAAGTTAAATTTACCAGATACGTCGTCTAGTAAAATTCCTTTAACTCAAAATGTTTTATTCAGCTACAAAACGGGTTCCATCTTGCTGCATTGTAAAAACTATTGGAAGTAGTTCGGCGTTATCTTGATTGGCTAAATAATAAATTGGAAAAGTTGTGTTGGATTCAAACATTTAGACTCATTCAGTAGCGGTTGTTTGTTGAGAAGTAAAATCCGAGTAAAACGTCTCTTTAAACTAAATAAATTATCTTTTTGACCTCAATAAATAGTAAACATTCGCTGTTAACTTTGGCACTGGAGTCAATGGAAGTGATAAATTCAACATAAATTACGAAATTATTTTGTACTAATTTCTTTGTACTGAAATCACTGATTTTTAAATTGTATGTAAATTTATGAGTAAATTACCACCCCGTCCAAGCTGATTATTTTCTAAAGCACCTAGAACAATGTCACTAGAGAATTTCGCATTTTAAAACTTTTACTTCAGTACTCTCCAACATCCATGAGTATTATGCAAACTGGAAGATAATTAACCAGCATTCTTATTCCAACAATAGTCTGTTTTCAAAAGAAATTTAAAAATGGGTATAGCATAATGATCTGATTGAGGAAAGCAAGTGCATTTTAGATGTTAAGTGGGAAACTTTTAGAGCTTAAGTATATAAACAAACAGCAACTTTGCAACTGAAACTTTGCAAGCAAAATATTTACTCTCTTTTAGAGTGATAAAATGGAGAAATTTTTACGTTAGAAGCAAATATTACCTATTCTGTATTTCGTAAATAATGATGATTTTAATATTATTTATATTGTATTTGTTAAATAACGATAAAATTTATTGCATTGCTAAGTAGATAAACACAATCGCCTGACAAATACTTGGTTAAAATTGTGCCAAATTGCCTTATCTACATAAACCTTAAAGTTTTATTATATACTTGATATAATACTTTGATCTCGAGTAAAACAGCCTAAGCAGTGAATTGAAGTCAATAATAGTTGTATCAAAGCGGGTTTCATTGCGAAATAAGTAGTTATTTCAATTAGACCTTCCGCGGCTTCATTTTCTCATTCAACCTACCTGTCCAACAGTCGAATTTTAAACGATATTTTAAAGTTTCGCACGCCATTTAACTGAACTCCTAGCCGGTTAATCTTATCCCGGGCAAAACTGTACAACCTCAGTAAGACTATAGATTAAAATAGTTTTGACATTAGGTTTAGCCTGCAAACCATATTGTTCAAGATTAATGACATCTTAGAATGATTTTAGGGATTTTCCAAGCCAAGATGAACGGTTGACCTATTAAGTCAGAAGCCAAAGTTTGGATAATAGATTTCATTTAATAGGGGCCAATCGTACGGTTTTTAAATTTTTACCATATTTGCTATTATTTACAATCTTCCTTTGACAGTATCATGCTAAGCATAATACTCGCAAACGTAACATATTTCATTAGAACAACAAGATTTGTAAGAGCGCTTTCGGTTAGTTTTATATTCCTCTTTGAAAGATTGGTTCATTGGTATTCAGTAAACTAACTAAACTTTAATCAATCTGGGGCAACGTACTGAGTTTTAGTGAATAAACAAACACATCTTCGACGAATACTTTTTTAAAACGATTTTGAGAGTTAAACTAGCAACATGGAACGATGTTTAAAGCTGTTTGGATATATGTTTGTAGCAACATTTGTAATCATATTGTTTTAACTGTTTCCTTAAATGCTTTGGAGTAAGATTATGAACTTGAACTGATCATAGGCTCCTGATTGTGCCACTCAGTTGTCCCCAGGAAATTCTAGATATATTAACTTTTTCGAGCTGAAGTTATTTTATTTTGATATCGACCTGAGACGGTTTTGTGCATTCCAACGAAGCAATTTCTGTTGAGGTTTTGCAAGCAGTATTTTTCACATTCATCAGAAGTAATTCGATTACCGTGTAAGAGATTACATTACCTCGTTCATGAGGAAGAAACACTTGAATCAGGTTAAATATGATGGTCTTCGCTAAACACATAAAATGTGACGCAAAGGAATTGATGTGACAAAACGCCTGATCAATCATGGGAAATCTCCTTGAAAAATCACTTAGGTGTATTATGCTAGTGCCAAAACGAATTTGAAATACTGAAAATAGGAAAAAATAAAAGGCAAGGACCAGATCGAAAATGTAGTTGAGGTTCCAACTTTAGAAAACTAAAATGAAAGACGAAAATACTGGGAATGGTGAGATGGAGATACAGCATCTCAGGTTCAACACGATTTACTCGATATGTTTTTCCTCGCGTATATTTATTTATTTTATTTATTATAGATTATTTAATTCATGAAAAAAAATTGTAAAATTATGTCTTTTTTAGTGCTAAATAAACAAAATTTTATTGCAGTTCAGGAGACGATTAGTTTTCGAGTTATGTATATGTTTCGATAAAAAATCTCTTTATGTTCCACAAACTATTGTCCAGATATTTTTTTCTATTTCGAAAGTCTATAAGTGGACAATTTAATCTCTGAAATTTGTAATTTAAAATGCTCTATGTAATTTTGTGGTTTATTTCGATTATTGGTGGATTTTTCAATGTTTCCAATGATTTTGTAATTTCTTCATTATTTTGGTGGAAGCACAAACCACCTTAAAAAGTTTAAATAAATAACATAAAATCCTTGCTTACACATATTAACGCTGGAATACAACTACGATTAGAAACCTATTTGAAATGCACACTTATAAAAGGTCTAAGCGTTTTTCCTTTGTCACTATTCACAGAAAATGGACTAAGAAAAACTACAAAATTTGAATTGTAAGATGAATTTACAAGCATTAAAGCTTTGCCAGCCTGTCACATATTTTACAAATTGTTGACGGATGGTTTTTGTTAAATAAAGTCAGTTAGATCATTTTGAGAAAAAATTCAGATTTAGTTGCCGGTTAAAATCAAATATATTTGGAATCTAACTTTTTTGACATTAATAAAGTTCCCTTCTACAATTTTTTGATTAAAAGACAAAGTGGCATTGATGTTTTTTGTCATTATCGGGTAGTTACAAGTACAAAGCTTTGAGAAGAGTGCAAACTAAGGTGATTACACATTATACACACTATCCGATGTTGATGATGGCTCGATGGCAATATTGACATTTCGAAAAACTAGGTAAATCCCTACATTTAACAAATCCTGTTGAATTTACCGTTTATCTTTATCTAATTAATTGTCACTTTCTGTATTTTTCCATCGATAACGGAGTTTTTAATAATTACGAAGGAACAGGTATTTACGTAATGTTCTTTAGGACGATTGCCTTGAAAAACATTGTTGCCTTCAGATATAATTTTTTGAAAATGTCTGTTTTTATTAACAAATATTTTTTTTACTGCTAAAATACCCCCAGGGAACACCTCCAGAGGAATGACGCCAATTTTCAATCATCCTTTATAACCACACAATATACAACAGTAACATGTTCTGTGGGTTTCTATTGCTTGAAAACCCCGAAAAACACAAGCAGATGCGCGTTTGGGCAAAAGTTGGGTAGTTTGTAGCGTTTCCAGAAACGCAAACTAAAAATCCTCGTTTGACAAAAAAAATTGCACTGTTTGGACTTTTGAATGGAACCCACAGATTTAAATAATTGATACGTGAAAATTTTTCAGGTTTAAAAAATACACAATCTTATAAAAGTGCAACCCTTTTGTTTCCACTTCTCGTCTTAGCTCATAAATATTGCTTGCCTGCATTATCAATTTTACCGTCATCTAGCAAAAATCCCAATCTGTTGTCTCGAAAAGTAACAGTGAAATTTCATAATATTCGTGTATTACAACACAAGTACTTGAAAAAATCATGATTCAGACTTTCTTTTCGGGTTTTCCCAATTTTAACCGGTTTAACGATAAATAAACCTCCAAGTCACATAGACAATTTTAAAACAGACACAAAAAACATACTTTTTCAAATTACCAACTAAATTAAATTAGTTATACGCGAGAAAATAGTTAAATACTAAAAAATCAGTTTTTCCTCATTTCCACCGTTAATTTGGGGTTATATCAAGAAGTGTTAAATAGAAAAGTTTAAGATTTTTTATTATCTTCAAATTTTGTTGAAGTTGCACCACAAATCGCAAAGAAGCGTTTTCAATCCCTAAATTGCATCCCCATTTGAAATTTTCAAGTTTCAATTTTTTTCGTGAAGTTGGACCCTCAATAGCATTTTCCACGTGGTTCGTGCCTGTAATTTTTTTGTTTTTCACAAAAATTAAAGGTATACATATATGGAATTTTTTCGATCTTATTGAAAACTGCAAAGCGGTAGCAGAATTTTGAGAAGTAGTTAAATAAAATTTTTTGCAACTGGAACATTATCAAACTGGAAACAATGTAATATTACTTCAGCATTCTTTAAGCGGCAATTCGGCTTTTAAGGACAATAAAAATAGATGTTTTAAAAATAAAAGGAAGTTAAGGCTCACGGTGAAAAGGAGCGTTGATATCGGCTCCGGAATTAGTGCTTCTTATTTCTGCGGGCATCCGTAATAGTAAGATTGCCCGAGCTTTCCGCATTTAAAAATGAAAAATAAATTAAGTTCTTGATAGGTATAAGCTCATTATTGGTGGCTAGTTAACATTCTGTAGCAATCGCATTAAAATAAAGGGTGAGAAAACGGTTCAGGCATGCGCATTTCAAGGGCGGCTGCGCTGTATTCGGAAAATTTTGTCCAGTTGTTTCCTCTCTTCACAGTTTCGTTTGAATATCGTTGGTGGTGATTGTTAGACAAGAGCTTAAAGCCAAAATAGCTTTCGCGCGATTGTCATGTGACTGACTTTCAAAATTTGCATTTTTTCGTGAAAAATACGGTGTCGGATTATTTTATCTGTACTTCAGGTAGATTGATAATCATGCTTAATAGAAAATTATACTGTGCAAGAATTTAATTTTTTTTAAATCAGAAATTTGAATTAACTCTTTATTTAAAAGGTTTCTGGTAGCGCATGAATAGTTAAATTTAGGTTTTGGCGTTAAAATAATGCTGTTCTCAGTTTTAATTAAAATGCCATGCAATCTTTCCCAAAATGCAAAGCGACGTTTACGAAAGCTTGAGGGACATTAAAATTTGTTACTCGGTCAGGTATTCATTTAATTGCGTTTTAGCGAAGCCAACAATTAAATTGAAATAGTAGAATTTCAAATGAAAAATCTAACAAGAAGCAGAGATATATTTTTATTGCATAAGAATTATTGGTTGGCCAGATTGGAGATCGACTTTCCAATATCAAACTTTCCTGCTGCTTTATGATTTTCAAAAGTTTCTTTCATGTTTTTTTTGCTCCGTCAAACTTTTCATAATGTGAGTTCAGGAGAATTAAATCCAAACTTGGATTTCTGTAATTGTTTCTGCTTTTAATTTAAGTTTGAGCTTTACAATGGTAAAAGTTGGATAAGATCGCATTTGGGAAAATTGCAATTTTTCCCTCCTGCTAAACAAAATTAATTTTAAACTGTTTGCAAATGATCCTGATGGTTGAGTATTAGATTTGATTCATTAGCAGGCCACATTTGAGTTTATCACTAAAAAAACTGCAGTTGAAATTATTCTCACATAAATCGAACCGATGCATTTGCGTTCTTTAGCTAATAAAATAAGTGTCATTCCACTTGAGCGTGATATATACCTGCTTAAGATAATGACGTTTAATTGTTGGCTTTTAAAAACTAATTTTTATTCATTAATTACCTGATAAAGTTGCGATTGAAATCATCTGATAACGAAAATTTGTTGCTCTTCAACGTTTAGAAACATTTTTTGAGCTCGTCCAACTTTAAGATTTATTGTTCTCCATCTTCATTCTTAAGTAGTTTAAGATGCACTAGTTGAATTTTGAAATAAATTCTAATAAAAGAGACTATTCAGATGAAAAATGAGATTCAATTACATTCATGAACCGTCACACCTACTTTCAGAAAAAAATAATGTTTTGTATTTTTTGCTCTGTAATTTTGCTAGATTTATGTTCCTCTAATATAAATACTAAATATTTTCCTTTTGACTCGAAGAAAATGTTTTCCCAGCTCGGTTTATCACACACGGTCGCTTGAAGAAAAGTGGATTCAAAAATACAAAAGTTTTAAATTAAAAATACCTTACGTAATTCAGGGCAGTTTCACATTCGTAAATGAAAAAATTTTCAAAATTATTTTCTATTTTCAAACATTCTCAGATTGAGCATTCTCACAGATAGCCTTAATTGAATTATTTAACGATAATTCAATTAAAGCGGTCAAGATATCAAAATGTATAAAACCATATTTGTTGTTCTAAAAAAAGGAATTAACGACACAAATGAATTAATAAATTTGAGCTAATGAGTGTGCGATGGTGTTCCTAGATTGATGTCAACCTTATTATTATTTTCAATTATGTTCCGTAGAAGTTAAATGGTCAAAAACAATAACATTTGTATAACACTATTTTTGTCCGCGATAATATGACATGAAAGCCATGTAAGCCGTAGGCGATTTAAAAGCTTTAGTGTGACATCAATTCGAATAACAGGACACAATGGAGAAAATTAATTCAAGAGTCGGATTTAATGAAATATGTTAATTGCTCTCGTCAAATTTCAATTTCCGAATATATTTAAACATAACGATCAATAGAGGCTACTATTTCGTTTAATTATATAAATCTGAACGTTCATTTAAAATAATAGTTGATAAATTGTTTCCAATTGATTTCTTTTAGCACCATGTTTGCAATTAAGTGTTTGTCGCAATTCTTCCGACTTTAAAATCTATTTTAAATTAAGCGAAATTAAAACAAACAAATTTACATTTTTTCACTTCGCGCCAACGAGCATGCAACTCCTTATCTTGACAGATAAAATATAGCACACAAGCAGATTCCTTATAATATATATTTAAGAATACCTAAAACGGGTTACGATTATTGCCCTAAGAGCACGGCAATTATAAATCTACCCTTCCTAACAAAATTTTACAGTTTGCATCAACCTAAACTTTACCACTAAGCTGAAAATTATTAATTCATCTTTCGTATTTCCAGACAAAAAGCGGCCCTTAAGAACATTAAAAAAACGACCGCTTAATATTTCCTTCAATTTTTATTTATTGGCAAAGCTGGGGGAATCAAAAGGATAAAATTATTTAAAGCCCTTGATCCCTAAGCAATTTAAAACTGGTGTACAAATGCAAGTGAAAAACTGTGTGCGGTTCTTTATATGGACTCTAATATGAAGTATTTTGTTGAAATAAAATTCAGTGAAGTGCAGTGATTTTAAAACTGAGCAAAACGATTTAATGAAGAGTGTTGTTGCGGTAGGAGCCTCAGTAAAAATGGGCAGGTTTTCTTCATGGATGTTTATGTTTCTGGAACTCAGCACAGGTTAGTGGTGAAGTTAAATATTGTTTTATTCTAAGATTTGGTTTGGGTAGTTGCGATGGGATAAAAGTCATACTTTCAACCTTTTGAGAGATCTGGGAAACATCACGGATTTAATTTGGAATATTTCTGAGTAATCCGCAGACAAATTACTTTAATACTTCTTTCGTAATGCTTAAGTGTCCTCTTGCAAAGCAGGATTTTAAATTACCACTATTACAGACATTCTCAAATACCACATTACTTTCAATGAGAGCTCGAGAAGCACAGAAATATGACCGAGAATATAAAGCGTGTGCTATAGAAGTTTCTCACAATTTGCAAGTTGAATTTGTGAAAAATACGACTCACTCTTTAATGCATTGTGGGAATAATGCAATTTTGGTCAGTTCTAGAGCATTTTATTTTAGTTTGGCATAAATGGACTATCGATAAAGTAACGGTTGCATATCTAGATTATTCCGATATTTTGTATTGCTCGCAATTTGGCAAATATTAAACAAACAGGCAAATCCAAAAAACCGACTGAAATCCAAAAAAAAAACGTTTTAGCGGAACTTGGTGGCAATATCAACATTCAACAATCCATTACTGAATGAAACATCAAAAGAAAAACCTGTGAGAATTTGCCCTGTTAATTTTCACAGTGTATCTGCTGCATCCTAAATGCGATCGAAACCCATTTTGTAACTAAGCTCGTTTATTGGTAGGACCATTTAGAGGTGCAGACAAATTTCGTTTTTCAAACCTATCGAAAAGCCATTGGTGAACGAAGTTTTAGCAACTATTTGCTACAGGCTTAAAAATACTGTTGAAATGTTTTATTTTTTTATGATCCATTGAACAGATTTATGCATCCCATAATATAAAATTAACATTTATAAATGCAGTTGTTGATGTTTTTGCTAGTATTTGGAGTAAAAACATGTGACACTTCCTTTAAACTTTATTGTGTATAACATTTTTATTTATGCCACGGGTGGTTTAAGTGGCTCGTTGCAAACTTGTGCGCTTATGAAGAAGTTCAGGTAGAATGCCTGATGTAAAAGAATAATCGGCTTAAAACTGAAACTAAGATTGCTCATTAAATTTGCCAAGATATTCAGCCAAAATGACAGGGCGCTTGCGAATTTTCCCGTGTTAGCATCTTGTATGCTCGTCGCTCTCACACGCAGTGCAGGTTGGTTTCCAAATCTTATTATTTATGGTTAAGTGTTAACGCGGGGTAATTATTCAGGATTTGGGATTTAAGGTGCGAAAAGGAATCTGCATAAAATTTTGATATCTGGCTTGACATAACCGGAAAATACGGTTGCTGTATTTGGGAAAATACCCTTTATTAACGCTCTTTTATTTAATTGTTTGAGCCGACAAGTAATTACGCAAGGTAGCCCTAATATTTACATGTTAAACGAACACGATAAAAGTTTGCGTTTAATGTTTTCTGAATTTTCAGAAGAAGATCTCAGTCAAGTCAAGTCAAAAATTAAATGGGTTCCAGCAGGAGATAAAGATGAATGATTAGAGTAAATAGGAATTTTTGTACATATCAGTTCTGCGGATATGGATAGGACGATGGATATAAAAGCACATTGCAAAAATATCTATAAAAGTGGTTTTGAGCCGAAAAAACCACCAAGATTTAAGCATTAATCGATAACCTTTTTTTAAATAAAAATTGGCAATTAAGCAGAAGCTTTCAATAAGATTCTAACAAATAAAAGTTTACTAAACATGCATAAAACAACAATTTTCAACACAGGTTAATTTAATTGATTTTTTTTGTATCTGATCGATCGATTGTGTTTCATTCGGTTGCAGTCGCGAATGTAACGTTTTGAATAAAAAATTTGAAAAAAAAAACAAACAATAAAGGGATGTTTGGTTATGACCAACAATGACAAAAGACCATAAATATACTTAAAAATTAGCTGCATACAGATTTGAGTCCGGATTATTTGAACAATTAAACATTGCCTTTAAATGGCACAATTTGTGAACTTTACTAAATACAGAAGGCCCCTAATCTGTATAATTGATTATGAATTATTTACAATATTTGCTTAAGCGAAAATAAACTCCACAATTTTAGTTGAAGATCTTATCAGGTTTTAAGGGATAAAGCAATTATTTGTTCCAAATTAAAATAAATTTTTAAGTTGCACCAAAACAATTCTGGTCAATAAAAACTAGTTAAGTAGAATGAAAACCGTTCCCGTAATGTCATACCACATTCCAGTTCTACTCAGCCATAAATTTCACGAACGAAGTTGCCGAATCATCAGAAAATCCCTAAAATAGAGCAACATTTTATCGGGCTTCATTGAGGCTCTTTATCTAACCATAACCCTGGACACGTCTCCTGTCATGGATGGAAATAGCCGTGCAATCCTCTCAAATGACATGTTTTCAAAATAGTGGAATAAAGTACGGTATATCGGGGGCAAATTAACACCGAGGGATTTGACTAAAAAATCAATCACTTCAAACACGCCAAAACCTGAAGCAACGCGTTACGAAAGACCGGACAGGCATTTAAGGACCATTTTAGCGTTAAATTTTAATTTCGTTTGTTAGCTGAATCATATGTTTAGCAAAAATAATCCGCAATCAATCAACTAACTCTAGCAGATTCAAAAATATACTGGAAAAAGAGAACGGCAGAATAATGTAAACTGCCTTTGTTTCAGTCAAACACACTGAAGAGTGATGAAAATAAATTTTCTTCATATTTTCATCCACTTTGCATCAACCATTTAAAATATCAGGCTTCCATAGCAAATTTTGATTGGCTGGAAGTGCAGTTAACCATCCTGAAATGTCAATCAAAATACGTCCGGCGGGAATTAATCAATCATTTCCGAAAAATGTTGAAGCCTACTTGTCAGCGCAAAAACGAATTTGAGCACAATCTAAATTATCTGGCAGCTGATACACTACGCAATTTTGGTCACGATTATAGACGGCAATAGTGAAACAAATCCTGTGAAAAGTTTATTACCGATTGTCTCACAAATATGGAGTCAAATAGCATTTTTTAAAAATTAGAAACAACCAAATATATCCAAACTGCACTCAAATTTTTATTACTTGGAATAGTCATTTGTTATTTCACTAAATCAACCGTGTTTACTAGACATCTATCAGTTCATATTTATTTTTATTTTCATTTTTAGCGATTCGATCCCATAACCCGTTTCTTGCTATCCTCCATTGCTTTGTTCACTAAGGCCGTTCTACGTTCACCTTTTCTTTAGCAAAATATAGTTGATTTGAAAAACGCTTTATTTAATTTTCACTTTATTCTCTCAAAACAAAGACCTGACTGGTTTTCTAAAGTAAGTAAGCAGATGGAATTTTACAAAGTACTTAACGCGATACCTCTTAACTTGTAAAAACATATAAATACAAATACCTACACTAAAATAGGTAGAATTAAAATATTTATTAAATTAAGGTGACTACCAGCATTTTGCTATAAATGCAATTGCCCTACTTGGAGCCGGTAGTACGAACACACTTCCAAAAATCTTCCATCATTGCCAATTGCTGACATAAAAAGAATTAACATTCTGTTCTAGCTTCCGCTTCCAAAGGGGTTTACTTATTGTAAACAGTTTTGATAATGACCCATTTACGCTTACACCTTAATAGCACTTGCAAGTCTCTCTGTACTCCAAAAATTCTACATTGTGAGATTTTCTCCTTCCTATTTTATAGTTGATTAGCAGTGAAAGAGCCAAATTGCAATAAAACCCTTCTTGCACCTTTCCCAGTGAAAACCGTTTAATGTAATTTCTTCGGATATTGGCTGGAAAGATGGAAAAATTCAACTCGAGGTAATTTCCCTGTCGTACTAAACTCACCACACTAAAAACTTAAATACGTTTTATAAAATCTCACTCGCTGCTTGTTTAAATGTAAATTTTCAACGATTAATTCAATTATATATTAAAATGACGTATGAAATGTAGTTGCACACTCACTGTGATTTATTATGTGCAGTGACTTTTCCTTTTGCAGGAAAATTACATGAAATTACATTTCGTTTTCAAGTTCCGCCCTAATTTGTTCACTCATTTTTTGCATGTCCGATTACCATTTACAATTGTTAAATATTTAAATTGCTCTACCTTTTTTAATCTGCTGTAAACCAACGGGTGTATAGTTTTCTGCTTTTCCTGAGATATGTGTAATTTTACATAGGCCTGGGAAGGCCAGTGAAGTTTTAGGAGCTAGCGCAATGCTGCGCAAATGGCTTCGTGCGCCAACTCAACCCACTGGTGCGGTAACTCCGTTCCGTTGCTGGGAAAACGTTACTTAAATGATGAGTTAAAAATGAAGTAACCTTCTTTTAGTTGCTTGGACAAATTGGTAAACCATGGCTCAACTACAAACTAAAAAGTGTTCATGACCTTTTTATAGATGCTACAATTCTATTCTCGGGTCTGATTAAGCTTCAATCCACTTTACTAAATGAGTTATAACTCGTCAACTCAGTGAGCCTAAACAACTAAAAGGGGCAAATCAACACAGTTATACCCAGGCCTAATTTTAAAGCGATTGTTGCAAAGTTTATCACTTTTTCTATTCCATGCATTTTTTAATTTAGTGTTTTTGTTTGGCGGTATGTACCTTCTGCTTTCCTCAATATGTCGCTCAGCATAAACTGTAAATAATTTGTAGGATTATATGGAATAGCAGTTGTTAATTTACTTAGAATATCTTTATTTATGGTGATTTACTTGCTTTTAGCGATATGTTATAGCGACACATTATCAACAAATAAATAGCTGTCTTCCTAAATTCAATCAAGGCCGTTGTTATTGCAAAGTTATTGCAAAGCCGAAGACCACAATTTAAACGAACATAGTTTGCGCTAAACGGCAAAATTATTTCATCTAACCAAAAATTCTCAATTGATGTGCGTTTATTAAAAAATATTTCTCTATTTAATGCTTGGGAAAGTAAAGCAAAAAAAACTATAGGCCTCAATCCTTTTG